ATAATTATGTTGATCCATTCATTGGTAATGTCTGACTGGACCTCAGGTCACTTTATGTTCATTAAATTGGGCCCTGAGGTCAAAAAGGTTCAGAAGCCCTGGTCTAATGTGGATGTGTGGATGTGGAGGGGCTCCCTGACCTCTGCTTGTAGCTGCAGTGAGGCGTGTGCTGCACTTACTGCTTCATTTTGTCCTTCTGAGGTCCAAACCTGGCTCCTGTGTGCCCCCTCCTGGATAACAGTGGGAATAAATCAGGGTTAAAGATGGCTTTAAAACTTTCAAGCTGTTTTGGTGAAAAACTAATTTACAATACTAGACGGTTGGTGTGTAAAATTGTGTCTAATATTTTCACAAACTTTCTAAATCAGTCAGATCAAACAAGGAAAACATGTAAAGGTGCAAAACAGAATCCCATAATTTACCACAGAACAACACAACACAACTAAAAACTAAAACTGCTGCAGATTAACTTTTATTATGCCAACAAACAACTTATTTACACACAAACTCACAGAAAAAAGTCTTCTTCTTCATCAGAGTCCTCCTCCAGAAGGTTTCTCTGTCAAACAAACGATTCAGATAAAGACAGAAGTCAAACGACRGTACAGGACATAAAACAGGATTATGAGAATAATTCCTGTAAAAATCTTCTTTAAACACAACATCCTGTTCATATCAAACCCAGCAGGACCCCCAGACAGAGGATGGTCCAGAACCTGTAACCCAAGCTGAGCGGTGTCTGCAGGTCAGTGCAGGGAGGAGGTTCAGAGAGACTAAACCTCTCCACTGACACATGGCTCAGCACAGGAGACCAAAGGACCAGGACCAGGACCAGCCTACACCTCCTGGATACAGGACAATTATCATTTTGATCCATGCATTGGTAATGTCTGACTGGGCCTCAGGTCACTTTATGTTCAWTAAATTGGGCCCTGAGGTCAAAAAGGTTCAGAAGCCCTGGTCTAGAGACATAACTCATTTTCTCACACAGTTCAGTTTGGGACTCCCTGAACTTCTTCACCTACAGAACCAAAGCTGTTTGTTTTTGCTTTTTTATTTAAATGAACTGTGTAAAATATTATTCATTAAATTGTCACAGGAGAAACGAGTCTGTTGGAAAATACTTGTTTGTTTGTTTCAACAATCAGGGTGAATAATGTTTAACTAGTCGTAGATAGTCATCATTTCATGACGCAGACACTAACAGCTGCAACAGACTGATTTGGTCACAAGACCTTCTAGAGTTTCATTCAACCTTCAGTCTCTTCTGTTTATCATCATCTTTGTTTTTACTGATCCTTCAACACAGAGCATCTTCAGAAGACAAGTTGATAAAGTAAATTTAAATATCTGTATTGTTTGATACAAGTGTGTACTGAACCTAAAGCACTGTTTGATAAGGGTACATGTATTGTTGCAGCACCACTCTAGTGGGAAAGATTTGCTTTCTGTAAAAATCTGTTACAAATTATGTCAGAAGTAGAGACTTCAGGGTTTACATCAGTTTTTAAATTGTGTTGATAGACCAAGTAAAACTGGACTTTTGATAAATAAATTACAGAACTTTAAAAAAAATGTTTCTTTGTTGAAGTATTGAAGCGTTGAGGTGAAGTGAGAGGACTGACCAGGTAAACCTGCAGTCAGTCTGTCTGCCAGCATTGATCACATTAATGATCAAATGCTAAAATATAACGGATCAAAGCTTTTCTGATGAGTAACTGCACACCAGATGATTTTGCCCAGCCCCAGTTTAAAGCAGATCAAGAACAGTTTTTATCTTGTCTTCCTTCTATCATCCATGTTTTTACTGCCTGTCGTCCTGCTTCCTCAGCATGGTTCTTTTTTTTTTTTAAATATGTGAGCCATCACATCGAAACCAGGATTAAGTTCAAAAGTTGTATAAGTAGAAATAGGAAAATATAGTGT